CAGAGGTGTAAGACAGAGTAACGTAATATCCCCGAAACTCTTCATCTTCACCGCTGCATTGGAAGATGTTTTCAAGCTACTAGACAATAAAGGATACGGTATTAACGTCAAAGGCGAGACATCACTTACCTTCGATTTGCCGACGATATAGTCCTTATAATCGCTGGAGAACCTAAGCACTATGCTCAATAACCGCGTGTCTCCCAACGGGTAGGGTCTTAACATGAAAATGAACAAAACAAAAGTAGTGTGTTACGTCCACGTCACACCTATGCCGGTGGTTGTTGGGAGCACTAGTTGTTGGGACAAATAGTCCGACTAGATAAGTCCAACTTCAACCGAGAGGTCAATCGACGGATTCAACTCGGCTGGGCAGCGTTCGGGAGATTACGACACATCTTCTCGTCAGGCATACCTCAAAACATCAAAACAATATTTCCAGTGATGACCTTTGGATCTGCGACAAGGTCCTTCACTGCTGGTCGTATGAGGAAGCCCAAGGTTGCTCAGCGAGCTATAAAGAGGGCTATGCTCGTTGTTTCTCTGCCTGATAGACTTAAAAACGAGGATATCCGCAGTAGATCCAGAGTAACCGACATAGCCCAACGGATTACGTAGCTCGAAGAACCGACAACCAATGGGGAAGAAAGATTCTTGAGTGGCAGCCTCGTACCGGCAGGCGAAGTGTAGTGTAGGCGTCCTACACTACACTTCACTACTAGATGGAGTGACAACCTGGTAATGCATGCAGGAAGTCAATGGATGCATGTGGCTCGAGACCGTGCTTTGTGGCGTTCCTTCGGGGAGGCCTATGTTCAGCAGTGGTCTTGTGAAGGGTTGTAATGATAAAAAAAATGAGTCAGATTTGTTGCCATAACGAGAGCATGTCAGGCCATCAGATATGGAGGGAAGTGAAAGTTACGTTCATATCCAAACCAGGTAAGAGCGACTATACGGACCCAAAATCCCATAGACACATTAGCCTCACATCCTTTCTCCTAAAGACGATGGAGAGGGATACAAGGGGTTCAGCGTTTTGAGCATATCGCTACACAATATGCAACACACCTACAGCTTAGGCAAATCGACAGAGTCGGCACTTCACCAGGTAATAAGAAGGATTGAAGGGGCCATCCAAAACAGAGAAAAATGTCTAGGGTCCTTCATAGATATAGAAGGTGCTTTTGACAGAACGAACTACTCCAGCATAAAAGTTGCACTAAGTAGTGATGAACCGGCACTGATCGAATGGATAGTGAACTTGCTCAGATCACGAGTAATAAAGATGGTTGGTGAATTTCAAGCAGTCCAAAAAAGGAAGGGCTGCCCGCAGAGTGGGGTTCTTTCACCTCTCCTGTGGAATATGGTCATGGCTATTCAGCAATTTAAATGCCAAACACTTCTATACAACTCTCCCTATAGTGGGTATGCAATGTATTAGTATTTCCTTTATTTTTTTTATTTTGAATAAAAAAAGTTACCCCCACACTAGGATTTTCTTCTGTATCGTGGAGGCAGTTAACAAACATAAATTGCACAAGTACAAACATCTAGACCCGGAACAATTATTTGTAGGCCATACAAATACTTATTCCGTGCTGGATTGGAACCCAAGGCCCCATAAATGCAAGTCATTGCTAAGCCACTGCACCACGGAGCCATCAATTAGCTGATAATAAAAACTTTATTGTTCAATGTGAGGAGAAGGTTAATATGCAACATCGAGGAAAATTAAGATTATAACAACGTGAACATCTTTGAAACTCAGATAATTTACCTACTTACCATTTTCAACCGATTTCAAAAAAAGGAGGAGATGTACTCAGTTCAACTGTTTTTTTATGTGTGTTACCTCAGAACTTTTTTCTAGGTGAATCGATTTTTATGATTCTATTTTTATTTGATAGCTGGTGCTTATAATTTATACATACCATATAAATTTCATCAAGATCTGACCGTAGTTTTGGAGTTATCCTTAACAATGCGTATTAGTATTGAAGTCGGTGGAACAAAATTTTTAATTTCGTTAGTTGTCTCTCTTCCTCTCTTTTTGAAAAACGTTACCTCCAAACTAGGATTTTTTCCTGTATCGCAGGGACAGTTTACATACATAGAACAGACTCCAGAACAATTATTTGTAGGCCATACAAATACTTATTCTGTCCGGTACTCGAACCCGCGGCCCTTAGCGTTGCAACTCATTACTAAGCCACTGCGCCACGGAGACGTCACTTGTCTGTTTAAGATTTTTTGCTATTTAGAAACAAGCGACAAGCGACTTCATTATTAATGAAAGAGTGGCAATGAGAAATGCTGTTAAGTTCAATCAATAACCAGTATATGCTGATCTTGTATTAGTAGGCAGTCACCAGTACTGGGAGGTCTACTTACACTAATCTATATTTTAAGGTCATTGGCATTATACGCGAAAAAATCGAAAATCGGGTCACTAATCAAGTAATAAATCTGTAACTATGGTGTCAGTGACTAAGTACCTAATTATCTATATCTACCTATAAATAATAATATTTTTATAGGTAGATATAGATAATTAGGTATCCAATTTATTTACCTTTCGTTATCCTTAGGAACAGTAAAGAATGAAAAGTCGATATTCCTATTGTTATTTAAGCTCCCGTATAATATAATTGAATAAAAACTCAAAAATAAATATTAAAAGTGCCTAAATACTTGTTAGAGAGAAATATTTTTTATAATAACTAACGTAAGGCGCGCGTCAGCTCGAGCGGGCGCTTGACAACCTCACGGAATGAGCCTCATGTAGGCGGCCGCGCAGCGTAGGTATATTTTCATGCCTACAGCGCGGAGTGAGACAGGCCTGATAATACTTATTGAAAGTCACTCTCATGTTTAATTGCCACTGGTTCAAAAAAAAACCTCTGTCCTGAGAAGAACCAGCAAGAAACCCAATGGAACCTTTTTTCTACCGAGTTCAAAAAGGAGGAGGTTCAGAAAACACAACAGTCGAATTGAGCCAATTCGACTGTTGTGTTTTACCTCATATACTTTTTCTGGGTGAACCAATTTAGATGATTCTTTTTTTATTTGAAAGCTGGTGCTTCTCACTTGGTCGCATATAAATGTAGATCAAAGTCTGATCAATAGTTTTTGAGTTATTCTTAATAATTTATATATTGAAGTCGGTTGTACAAAATTTTTAATTTTTAATTATCTAAATAACAGCTTATAATCATACCTCATTCCCAGGTGTTATTATCATCCAGAAATTCCTTAATATTATATTAACCCTTTTTATATAAACGTTTTATAAAAGTTTAATAAAGTTTTTGAACTCTGAACAGGTCAAATTTTGTATGTTTTCTGGGATTTTGTTGTAAAAGCATATTATACATCGCCCCGAGAATGAATTACTGACTCGGTGGCGTTGAGTAACTGGTACTACTAACTTGTGTCTGTTCTTAGTATTCACATTATGAATATCACTTATTTTTGTAAAATTACTTTTATTTTTGTATACGTACATTAATTACATTACACAAGCTTTTATGAGAAGGCTCAGAATACCACGATGAATACTATAGATTGCAAGGATATTATAAACCGTTAGAAATTTTAAATATGTACTAGCTTTTCTATCTGACTTTCGGTGTATATTAACCCTCTGCGACTGACGTGGTAAGTTAACACGTCAGTCGCAGAGGGTTACCACTGGTAACCCAACAGACACCGGCAAAATGTAAAATTCGGTTTATTACCGTTAATTTTCAAATTTGAGCGTCGCCACTCTTAGTACCTTGCCGTAGTAAGCTCGCGCGTCGGCCGTCGGTCAGTGATCAGTGTGCGGAAGGCCGTGGTAGCGAGCGCAAACATTATTTCACTACTAGAATGCTATATTATCACTGAGTAACATAGGTTTTATCGCGAAATAGTATCTATAGTCCACGCGGGTGAAGTCGCGGAAGCTAATTATACGTAATTTACAGAAAAAACTTATTTTTAGATGGCTGACTCAAGTAAAAACCCTAGGCCAGATACTTCTTCTACTCGTAAGAGAACGTCGGCTAGAACTTTTGTGGGTCACGAAAATCAAATAATAGAGTGGCTGGAAGAAGAAAGTGACCATGAGTTTAGTGATGTTGACGTTGAAGATCAAGATCCGATTCTCGAGCCGGAAACCCAAGAAGAAGACCTTCAAGAAGTTCATGTGATGAAGATCCAGAGTCAAACGTAGAAGCACGACAAGATCCTGCCACTGTGGTTGAACGCCAACGATTTTCAGACGAGTCAGAAGACCACTTCACAGGTAAAAATGGTTTCATTTGTAGTAAACAAGAGCGTCCTAGGACACCACGTATTGCAGCTCATAATATAATTCGATTACTAGGCCGTACTACAACAACTAATTTTGAAGGTTACTCGGAACTTTGGTCTAAGCTGATTGACCCCTAAATGTTAGAATCCCTGGTGCGATTTACTAACCAGAAACTAAGTTCCTACCATACTAAGTTTAAAAATACTACTAAGGCCGAACTTTGTGATACAAATGTAAACGAAATAAAAGCGTTCATTGGTTTGATGTACTATTCATCAGTTTTCAAATGTAACGATGCAGATCTCCATACAATATCTGCCACCGATGGCACAGGCCGTGAAATATTCCGCTGTGTGATGTCCAAATGGCGTTTTTCATGTTTGATCACCTGCCTTAGATTTGATGACTCGACTACTAGAGAGGAACGTCTAAAAGATGATAAACTTGCTCCAATATTCGATATATTTAATAAATTCATATCAAACAGTCAGTCTCAATATACTCCTGGACCATACCTCTGCATCGATGAAATGTTACTGCCATTTAGAGGTCGTTGCAAGTTCATCATTTATATACCTTAGAAACCAGTAAAATATGGTATCAGAATTTTATTATTAGTAGATGCTCAAACATGCTATACTTACAATGCTTATATATATCATGTTAAGAATTCCTATGGTAAAAGCTTAACCGATCAAGAAAAAAAATGACAGTACCCACTCAGACAGTTTTAAGACTTGTGAAAGTGGTCGAAAAATCGAACCGAAATATTGCTGCTGACAATTGGTTCAACTCGATACCACTAGTCGAAATATTGCTGAAAAGAGAACTGACTTACCTGGACACTCTGAAAAAAAATAAAGCAAAAATACCACCTTGTTTCTTGCCGAACAAAAATAGATCGATAGAAAGTTCGTTGTATGGTTTTACGAAAGACTATTCACTTTTATCATATGTGCCAAAACCTATTAAAGCCGTGTTGTTGATTTTTTCTTCTCATCACATTCAAGAAATAGATAATGATACAGGAAAACCAGTTATGATTGCAGACTATAATCGTACAAAAGGTGGAGTGGATGAGGTGGATAAAAAATGCTCGATTTATTGTTGCAGCCGTAAAACTCGTCGTTGGTCTATGGCAATCTTTCAAAGGATGCTGGACATGGCAGGCATAAATAGCCTTGTATTGTATCTAAATTGTACTGACAGTGATGAGAAAATGAGGAGAGCAACTTTTTTACTGAATATGGCAAGAGATTTAGCGCTGAATCATACGAAAACCAGGGTATACAATGAAAGATTGCTAATGGAGCTACGCATGACAATCACTAGGGTTTTAGATAAGGATACTCCCCCTCCACCACCAGTAGTTCGGTCTGTTCCACCAAGTGGCAGAAAACTTTGTTCTATTTGTCCAACAAAAAAAAAGTCAAACTAAATATTGTTGCTGTGATTGTTCAAAGCCCATTTGCCTTCAGTGCTTTAAGCCACTGTGTGATAATTGTCAAATAAAGCTGTGATTTTTAAAATGTCTAATTTTGAAGTCAACCAATGAATGTATCTGGGGGCCGCCAAGTCGAGCAAAAAAGCGGCACGGCCGTACCATCCTTTTCTCGAAGCAGTTCAGGCCATTTTCGAAACCCTATAACTTCGTTGTGGATAAAACTATAAGTCTGAATATTCAGTAACCAAGTAGGCATTGTAAAAACTCGGTATATTTCAAATTGCATTAAATTTGAACCAGTATTTTAAGAATTATAACTAGTCAAAGTCCTTCCCCTCGGACCGCGAAAGCGATTAGACGTGCACTACAAGTCTTATTTTATAAATTCAATTTAAAAATAATAATAGATTTTTGGAAGAATGATTAAATTAATACTTCACTAAATACTAGGCGCGCATAATAAAACAGTGGTGTACGCGGAGTTTTAGAGTAAACAGGATAGCTACAGCTAAGACAGTGATAGTGGGCGGATAAAGTCAGCAGGTAAATGCACACTCACACGTCGGCGTAGGAAGAAACGTCATCTTCGCCGCTTGCCACTATTCATGAGCGACAGCGATCAGCGGGTAAATATTGTTGTGTGGTACAAGTATAACATATTGTTGGCAACTACAGACACTATTTTCATTTGAAGTCACCATGTTCAAAACACCACCTAAAACATCCCCGAATCAATATCCATCGCGTTCGGAGTCTGACATCCGGAAACTAAATACAGATGAAGTCTTAGAAGGAAATATCACCCAGCGAGCCAAACGCAGATGCTTATCTGATGAAGTTACCGGAGATGAATTAGATATGTTTAAAAATGAGATAAAGAAAATGATCAATGAAATGGTCACCACCCAAAACTCCCGCTTAGACAAATTAGAGAACTATATTATGGAAATAAAAAATTACTACACCGATATCAAGGCCTCTACTTGTGAACTTGAAAGAACATTGACAACTGTCTCCGACCAATTAACGTCACTCGAGGATAAAATCACGGGACTTGAGAAGGAGCGTAGCTCTATGGCGATCAAGTTATCTACACTGGAAGAAAAAATGGAATTTTTCGACCGTAATCTCATCAAAACTTCCATAGAACTTAGAAATGTGCCAAAACGAGTGAAGGAGACGAAAGCTATGTTGTATAATATGGTAATGCATTTGTCAAAACACTTGGATGTTGACACAGAATCTTCCAATATTCGTGATGTAATAAGACAACCGTCTAAGAAGGAAAACCTTACATCAAATATAACAGTTGAGTTCTCTAATACACTCACGAAAACAAAATTTTTAACTGCCGTTAAAGAATATAACAAACAGAATCACAAAGATAAGGTAAACACTAACCATCTTAATATAAAAACAGCACATCAAACACCTATTTACATTGCTGAACAGTTGACTTCGCATACTAAAAGACTGTTTTATCTAACTAGAAACTACGCCAAGTCTCACCATTACACATATTGTTGGACATCAAATGGACGAGTTATGCTAAAAAAGGATTCTAACAGCCAGTCCATCTTGGTAAAAAACGAAGACCATTTGAAGCAGCTTCCCTTAACCAACAGTGCATGACTACTTTCCTATAAGTATTTTCATTATTATTTTAATCATTTTATACTAAAATTAAATACTGTTTTACTAAATTTTTTTGTTAAAATACACATTTTGATTACACACACAAACATACTCCACTATTATTATCACGTCCACTTTCCATCTCACCGCATCAGAAATTACTCAACACACACACACTACCTTTGCTCTCATACTACACTTACACCACTAAAATTTCACATTAGTAATTGTATATATCTCCACGCTCTTATTATGAATAATTGCTTAGGACATATATATGCCCGTACCTTGTATTCCGTAACTTGTTCTTATTACTTAAAAAATATCCAGTGTTTCAATCTTTTGCAAACTGTTATAAAATTAGGACACAGTTCCAAAAAAAAAAAAAAACTATCTTCCTTCGTCCCGTTTTGCCCGGTTTACTTTACTGCAAAAACGAATAATAGCGTTAACTATGTGATTGATGACATTGACCATCTTTCTGTATCTATAACTAATACGTGCCCACCAGAAGAAACACATAAAATTGTCAAACATCCAAATAGATATGTGAAAATTCTATCGCAAAACATTCGTTCCATCAATTGTAACTTCTTAAGCTTACAAACTCTCATGCACCGCATCTCCTTTGATTGCGATCTGGTTGTCTTGACTGAATGTTGGTTACCATGCTCTAGTAACACTACTCTTCCTATCTTGCAAAATTATACCATATTCAAGACCACCAGTCATAATAACCAAAGTGATGGTGTCGTGGTATATTTAAAGACGCACCTATTGGCTACATGCGAAGAACCAGACTTTCACCAATCAGCTTCTGGACTCATAATAAAGATAAATACCGACTTGGCAATAGTTTGTATCTACCGCACACCATCAATAGACAATATAAATAGTTTTCTCTTAGTCCTTAATAACATTCTTCTGTCACTACGTATATTCAAATCTGTTGTCATAACAGGTGATTTAAATTTAGATATCAAACCCGATACGCTTGACTCGCGATCTCACGAATATTTGAATTGTCTTGCCTACCACGGCTATCTTCCTGCCCATACTCTTCCAACCAGGAGTAGCAATTGCTTGGATCATACGATCCTAAGAACAAAGTCTCCCACTCTTACTTTTGTCTATAGCTCCTCAGTAACTGATCACTGTTCCACATTACTTTGCATACACACTCAACATATACCAACGGCCTCAACTTCGTTCATCACCAGGATCGACTATAAGGGTCTTGACAAATCAGTATTACAACTGGACTTCACCCCTCTTTTTTCTATAAGAGATGTAAATATAGCTACCGATAAATTCATTAAATTAGTAACTTCGGCCATTTCCGATAACACGACAGTAAAAAAAGTTCCTTCGAAAAAGAAAATTCTTAAACCTTGGATTACTCCTGGTTTATTACGGTGCATAAGAAATAGAGACGCTCTACATAAAAAAGTTAATAACTCTCCTGGTAACGACGTACTGAAAATTACCTACAAGAGATACAGAAATTTTTGTAATAGTATTTTGAAAAAAGCGAAGAGACTATATGATACACAGGAACTAAGTAAAGCAACTAATAACCCAAAAAAATTGTGGGATACTATAAAACGAGTAACGAACACCGTTAAAAGTAAAAACCCTTCTACACAATTACTAACTTTATTACCTTCACCTAAGCAGTCGTGCAATAGTGTAAATTCGTACTTTGTAAATATTGGAGAGAAACTCGCAAATGATATAATCAACTGCAGAACCTTTCAAACAACAACCTTCCCGCAAACCACATCTAACATCAGATCTACTTCATCTTTTGTCCTAGATCCTACAGATCCTAATGAAATTATTTCAGTTATAGACTCCTTACGGTCTAATGCTGCTACTGGTTGGGATGGCATTTCGCCTTCCTTCCTAAAGACATACTCAACCACTCTGGCACCGATCTTATGCCATATATTTAATCTTTGTTTCGACACTGCTGTCTTTCCCACGTCACTTAAAAAGGCAATTATTCATCCAGTCTTCAAGGGAGGTGACGGGAACGTACCAAATAATTACCGTCCCATAGCGGTTCTCAGTACTCTATCAAAGGTTCTCGAAAGATTGATTAATAAAAGACTAGTTTCCTACCTCGAACATTATAATTTAACTTCTTCACATCAGTTCGGCTTTCGCAAAAATAAATCGGCTAATGATGCAGTTCAAAGTTTAACCGATCATGTCGTTCAGAACTTGAATCAAAGCAAAAAGGTCCTAACTATATTTTTGGATCTCGCGAAAGCGTTTGACACCGTTCCTGTCTCGACTCTCTTACTCAAATTAGAAAAGGTAGGTGTCAGGGGATTGCAACTAGATCTCTTTCAAAGTTACCTCACAAATCGCTCCCAGACAGTCAGGATTGATGATCACTATAGTGATGACCTCCCAGTCTATTACGGCGTACCACAAGGAAGTATATTAGGTCCCACAATATTCTTAGTGTTTGTTAACGATCTATGCAACCTTAATATTCCAAATGCTAAGATTATATCATTTGCAGATGATACTGCAATAACATTCGTCGCCGAAACATGGTCTGCACTTGAGCACAAGGCTCAAATTGGCTTCGACCTTATAACAAATTGGCTTTATTCCCACACACTAACCCTTAATGTCTCCAAAACTAAACTTATTACCTATTCTATTAGTTCAGTCTCCCAACCAAATTTACCTATATCCCTTAAAGTTCACTCTTGCCACAGACATACTCAGGTCTCTTGTCAATGTCCAACCATATCCTCTGTTGACAATATTAAATACCTAGGTATAATCTTAGATAAAAACCTAAATTTTAAAAGCCACATTAATCTTCTCACTGGCAGAGTCCGTAAATTAATTTACATATTTAAAACCCTAAGAAGTATTGCTAACCCTACTGTTTTACGTAAAGTTTATTTTGCCCTATGCTTATCCATTATTACATACTGTATTTCCTGCTGGGGTGGTGCTGCTAAAACTAACCTAATGAAGCTGGAGGTGGCACACAGAGCCATTTTGAAAGTGGCTACTTTCCGGCCTATCATTTTTCCAACTAATCAGTTATACAATGACTGGAACGTCCTTAATGTTCGGCAACATTTTATTCTGCAAACAGTTCTAATGCAGCACCGCAAAACCCCTTACAGGGAAACAAGTAAACGTCGAAAGGACAAAATTTGTTCTCTACCACAAGTTCGCTTATCATTCACTAAAAGATTCTTTTATTTCCTGGGTCCGTCTCTTTACAATAAAATAAGCGAAAAATGTCCTATATATGGGTTATCATTATATAACTGCAAGAAAGCTGTCCGCTCATACCTTCAAAACACATCTTATGACGAAACAGAAAAATACCTGAACTGACTGATTATAAAATAACTAACCTGATTTATCTACTCTCTCACACAAACACACACATGCACACGCAAACACACACGCACACCCACGCATACGCACGCACACACACTCAAACACACGCACACACATACACACGCATTCATTTCTCAACATTATAATTATAATTTGAATAACTAGAAATTGATATAATTGTAGCACTTTTAAATGTATGCATGTAAATATTATATACATAATGTTATGGGGATTGAGACTGTTACTCCTTAATACAGGTTAATCTGTAACCTAGCTAGGAGTGCAGAGCTACATCCACTAGATTTAAGGACATATTTTATAGATAGTACAAACAATGTAATGTCACACCAATGTACTACAATCACTGTATAAATTAAATAAACTTTGTAATCCCATATAAATATATAGGATTACAAAGTTACATTTGCAGTGAATTAATCAGTGTACCTATATATGTATAATATAATGGAATAATAGGTGTAGATAGATGACTAGATATACTCGTAACTATCTACAAAAAGAAATGAGATACCGTCAAAAACATAACTTGATATGTCAATAAATAACCTATCGATTAAAACAAATGTTTAAAAATATTGTGCCCTAATTAAAATAGCAGGAATTTTTTAATTTGAAATTGGCACTAAAAGGCGGATGATAGATTAAATTACTTAGCTTAAGTGAATGTAAAAATATTAGTAATAAGCATATGATATGTTTGTCGCCTTCTGTTCTGTCTACATTTAATAATCCAACTTGTGGCACTTTACTCTTTGATCGAAGTTAATTTGTCACTTCCAGAAATATGCGATTCGAAAATAATATATGGCAATGTAATTTTTGGCAAAAGCTTAGTGATGGAAGATTTATTTATGTTCAGTCTAAGCCAAATAAATTGACTATTAAATGTACATATGATAACAAGATTTTGGGTTATACTTTACAAGGCACTGGGCTATTATCTTTAAATAATGATTACGTTGCATATTACCACACATTGCTAGGCAAATATCAATTAATGTTAACATAGGTGAAGATGATTGTTGCAAATACAATTTATTAACCACAGTTCCCATATTCTAACCCCAACAGCGCTAACAGAAATTGATTTGGAATCATTAACAATTAGCGTCATATAAATTGGATAGTTTAGTTTAGATCTAGGCTTCATGAATTTGAAGCCTAGTTTCGGTTCCATATTGTTAAATACAGACATTATTATTCAACGCTTAGGTACTTATATTGTAAATGCCAGTATTCTTAGTTATATACTATTTAAGATATATAATAAATGCTTTTCAAATTGTTGTAAAAGTATATCCTGTTGCATCCAAATATATAATCAGTGTTATTATAAAAAAATGTCACTAAATTTAACACTTCTATTGAACTAACGGATATTTCAGATGAATCAAATGAATGCGTCAAGTGGCGACAAGAAATCGATTAGGAGTAAATAGAGATTAATAAATGCAAGGACAAGGTTCAGAGTTTCTTCTAACCGGAATTACGTAGTACTATTATTTATTCTGTGCCGGAATATAAACAATTATTAACGGTTAAAACTTATTTCAAAGATTATTTTTATATTTTTAAACATGTTCCTTAGTTATTGATTGATTAATAAGTATTATTACTTTACTTTATTATGTAACGATAAAAATTTACTAATTTATTTTTTAAAGTTTTTTTTTATAGTCCTTATTAATTGAATAAGATTGTCAATTAAAATAAAGTATTAGCTATTGTAATTGTATGTGTGTCAAAATCACTTTAATTGAATTATTTTACTGTATTCGAGTATTCTAATATGGTACCTATTAGCTTGAATATATAAGTGTTTACCTTAAAAGATAAACCTCCGTCTTAAGGGCGGAGATGTTATGAACCGATGCGATGTATGAGTAAGTAACTGCTATTGTAAACATTATGTAAAGTAAATATTAAATGTGATTTTTCATATAATTTAAGCAAACTTTAGAGTTAGCCTTTGTTTGGTACACAACTTTCTTCTAACTTAAAATTACATAAAATTACTATGTGTAATTAAACTACTATTAGTTTTGCAGCAGTAAATAGTGTATTTTTTTTTAAAAGGACCCAAGGCGAGCCGTCCTAACAGTCAGTGATGTGTTGTTTGTGATTTAGTTTATGTACCCTGTGCGTTCAAACGCACTGTGAGACCTCACCTCACGTGTCCTAGTGTTATTGTACGAAGAGGAAGACGCACTCACACACGACAAGGTTTAGGTAAATAGTGCACGTTTATTGAATTAGAAAGCATGTCAAGAAGTAAAGCATGCAAAAAGGGTGTCAAGAAGTTGAACATGATTTCGGCGCCACTTACAATGTACCTGCCTAATATTTTATCTATCATTCATTGTTTATTTAAGTTAGTAAAAAGAAATAAATTTCCTACCTTCTAAACGGTGTAATGCGTCCTCATCCATTTTTAGCGGGTTCCCTTTGTAGATTCCGCATTAAATCTGAAAAAGCGTGTATAATATATTGGTTATTGGATATTGTGCTTTAGTATTGTTACGAGCTTGGGGTTCGAGACAATTAAAAACTGCCGATTGAATTACCAATATTAACACTTTAATTACACGACACTAATTACAATCTAAAACCACACTAATAATAAAACACAATCACTTTAGTTCGCAGTTATTTCGCTTCGAAGTATTCTCTTGTATCGCCAATTCAATACTGCCCTGGTCGTGGTCTATACCGGCTTTATACAGTTTCCAGAACCTTCCACTGTAGTTCGGGCACATATCGGTCCCGAAATTTCTGGAAGGATCTCGACTCCTAGTTCTGCTACTCGACACTAGAGGGCGCTAGAGTAACTAGTGTTGCCATGTACAAGACATTAATAGTGGCGCGCAACACTGCCCCCTCATAAGACATGCTCGTCCCGAGCATTATTGGCCCCATAATAACGCGCCAGTCGATCCACTTGGACGATCTTAGGAGTACCTCTGGCACCTTTCTGTATCCGGTAGCTTACGTCATTGATCCTTGTCACAATCCTGTACGGTCCGTCCGATTTAGCTTGAAGCTTAGGAGATTTCCCTTTGCTGCGAGCTGGATTGTGTAACCACACTAGTGAACCTTCGTCAATTCCTTTGTTGTTCATTTTGCGGTCATACCGTGTTTTCATCTTCTCAGACGTTTGCTGGCCCGACTGTCTGACGTGCTCATAAATGTCATTCATTTTGTTCCGCAAGTCATTTGCATAATCGGTTATACTGCGTGGGGCATCAGGTGGTATTCCGTTGATCAGGTCTGCAGGCAGCCGTAATTCTCTCCCAAAGTTTGCGAAAGCTGGCGTCACTGATGTACTTTCGTGAACAGCGCTTCGATATGACAACAAAAACGGTTGTATGTGCCTGTCCCAGTCTCGTTGCTGTTTTTCCACAACTTTTGCCAGGTACCTTTCCAATGTCTGATTAAATCGTTCTACCATTCCATCAGATTGTGGGTGGTAAGAAGTTGTTCGTGTTTTATGAGTACCCATAACTCAACAAATTTCCTGGAATATTTGAGACTCAAAATTCCTTCCTTGATCGCTGTGAATCTCTAAGGGTACTCCAAAACGACAGAAGACTTCATGAACTAGTTTATCTGCAACTGTTGAAGCTACTTGATTTGGAATGGCGAAGACTTCTGGCCACTTAGTGAAGTAATCCATCACAACCATTGAGTTATATGTACTACGTACTAAGGAAGCCATTCCGAACATTGACTATGTTCAACTGAACTGCAGTGCAATCCATACAAACTAAATATTGCGTAAATTGAAGATTTGTGAATTCCATAAAATCATTATTACATTTTATTTAGAAATATGTTTGTTTAGATTGAATTAAGATATTTTATATCAATATCTTATTTTATATTAAATCAAAGTCTTCGCACATGCGCGACTACTGCTCCCGCGCATGCGCGAAGACATAGAGTAGGACACAATTTTTGTTTGGAATGGCTTCTCTAGTACGTAGTACATATAACTCAATGATCACAACCATGAAATACTTGTTACCACTTTCACTTTCCGGAAACGGCCCCGCAACGTCAATGGCTATCCTCTCCCATGATGCACCAACATTGTACAATTTTAATGCGCCTCTACTACGAGTTTGAGGTCCCTTTACAGCCGCACAACTTGTACATTGGCGGTACCAGTCCTCGACATCGTCACGACAGTGGACCCAGTAAAACCGTTCTCGGATCTTCAGTAGAGTTCGTTTAACTCCCAGGTGGCCTCCTGAACAACCACTATGGTACAGCTGTAGAACATCCGGTACTTTAGCCTTAGGAACAACCATTTGCAAATGACATCTGTCTCCCCGACCATTTTCCCATTTACGGCACAGGACTCCATCCTGAATCAGCAAGCTGTCCCATTGGGCCCAATAGCTTTTCGTGGTCGAACTCATTGCAGAGACGTCGCTCCACTTGGGCTTAGGAGCACTGGCCTTCATCCATTCCAGAATCGGCTTAATGTCCGAATCTTCCTGCTATGCATGTTGTAGGCTGTCCTTCCACTCATTGCTGAGCTGGTCTGTCCTGATCATCCTCACAGATACCACTTCCTTACTCTTTTGCCTAGTACAATGCTTGCAATCTTCAGGGCAAGGTCTTCTTGACAATGCATCTGCATTGCCGTGAGATTTCCCGCTGCGATGTTCGATCACAAAGTCGTATTCCTGCAGTAGTTCAATCCATCTCGCGACTTGTCCTTCCGGATTTTTGAACTGCAATAGCCATTTCAGTGCAGCATGGTCAGTTCGTAAGTGGAATTTCCGCCCCAGAAGATATTTGCTAAAATGCTGCAAGGACTTTACCACAGCAAGCAATTCCCGTCTTGTGACACAATAGTTCCTTTCCGGCTTTGACATCGACTTGCTGAAGTACGCTATCACAATCTCTAGATCACCATTCCGTTGAGATAACACACCGCCAAGTCCTATATCACTTGCGTCTGTGTCAATTATGAATTCCTTGCCCGCATCAGGGTACCCCAAAATAGGTGTTTTGCACAGACGGTTCTTGAGCTCCTGGAATGCAATATTGCAACTTTCATCCCAGCAGAAATGTCGGTTCTTCCGTCGTTAGCCTGTGCAGAGGTTTGGCTATATCTGCAAAGTTCTTCACAAATCGCCGATAATAAGAGCACAAACCCAAAAATGCTCTAACCTGTGTCTTGTCTTTTGGAACCGGCCAATCCTTGACAGCGAAAATTTTCTCTGGATCCGTGCGGATACCTTCTTCCGACACTACATACCCCAAAAAGCTAACTTGTCGTTTGAATAGTGAGCACTTCTTCGGACTTAACTTGAGATTGGCACTCTGGATCGTCATAAGCACGCGTTCCAGGTTTTGAAGGTGTTCCTCAAACGTACGGCCTACGATGATGATGTCATCCAAATAGACCAGACAGGCATCTCCAATTAACGCGGTAAGTATAAGCTCCATCAACCTTTCAAACGTTGCTGAAGCATTGCACAATCCAAACGGCATGAATTTAAATTGCCACAGACCCTTTCCTGTGGAGAATGCAGTTTTCTCCTTGTCTTTAGGGTCAATTTCAATCTGCCAGTAGTCACTTTTCAGGTCCAGCGTACTAAACCACTTTACACCTGTAAGCATGTCCAGCGTGTCATCAATTCTTGGCAAGGGATAGCTGTCCTTCTTCGTAACGTCGTTCAGGCGGCGGTAGTCAACACAAAACCGCATGCTGCTGTCCTTCTTCTTTACCAGCACCACAGGTGAACACCATGGACTAGATGAAGGTTCAATAACACCATCCCTTCAATTTAAATTTCAAGGTTGAAAGAAAGAGAGAAAGAAACAGATTTTATTTGGCACATGCAGCACACTCAAGCGGATTACATAAAACACATAACATTTAAGTAGTCATACAAACAAACAAAAAAAAACAAAAAAGAGGGAGGCGTTGGCCGTTAGTCTGGACATTGCGAAGGCCTTCGATCGGGTTTGGCACAAAGCGCATCTTTCGAAGCTCCCTTCCTATGGGCTTCCCGAGAAATTGTGCAATTGGATCACCAGCTTCCTTGCAGATCGGAGCATCAAGGTCGTTGTAGACGGTGCATGTTCTGACTACAAGCCTATTAACGCTGGTGTTCCACAAGGCTGTGTGCTATCACCAACGCTGTTTCTTCTGCATATCAATGATATGTTGCTAACTGGTAACATTCATTGCTATGCGGATGACAGCACTGGTGATGCTCTATACACCGGCCGTGCCAATATTTCTCGGGAAAACGTCGCCGAGTACCGGAGCAAACTCGTGTCTGAAGTCGAGTCTTTGCTGAACAAAGTCTCGGATTGGGGGCGACTAAATCTAGTCCAGTTTAATCCTCAGAAGACACAAGTTTGTGCGTTTACCGCTAAAAAGAACCCCTTTGTCGTATCTCCTCAGTTTCAAGGTACTCCCCTTCTTGCCTCAGCCAGTATCGGTATCCTCGGAGTCGACATACCGAGTGACGTGCAGTTTCGTGGTCACTTGGAAGAGAAGGCCAAATTGGCCTCTAAAAAGCTTGGCGTGCTCAGCAGAGCGGGACAGTATTTCATGCCGGCACACCGCCTGCAACTTTACAAGGCGCAGGTTCGGCCTCACATGGAATACTGTTCCCATCTCTGGGCAGGGGCTCCCCAGTGCCAGCTCCTTCCACTTGACCGCATTCAGCGCAGAGCGGCTCGAATCGCCGACGACCGAGCCCTTTCCAATCGGCTCGATTCATTGGCACTGCGAAGAGATGTTGCATCCCTTTGCATTTTCTTTCGCATCTACCATGGGGAGTGCTCTGAGGAATTGTTCGGATTAATCCCAGCCGCCAAATTTCACGAACGCACATCGCGGCAGAACTCCCGATACCATCCACACCATCTGGATGATTGGCGGTCCACCACTGTGCGATTTAGAAGATGTTTTCTTCCTCGCACGACTTCCTTGTGGAATCGATTACCATCAGCGATTTTTCCGGACTGATACGACTTAGGGACCTTCAAGAAAAGAGCGTACTCCTTTTTAAAAGGCCGGCAACGCATCTGCAATTCCCCTGGTTCCCCTGGTGTTGCGGTTGTTCATGGGCGGCGGTAGTCACTTACCATCAGGTGAGCTGCATGCTCGTTTGCCCCCTCTCTTATAAAAAAAAATACATAGAAATCATGAAACAGGACATTAACTCCTTGTTTATAGATATGTGATTATAGATATGGTAAAATTAAACAAAAAAAAAAAGAACAAAAAAGCAAACAATAATATTGAAAAAAAATAATAATAAAGAACTAGAGAATAAGGAGTAATACATAAGGTGTATTATAAAGATAATCCACCCGTTAATGCTGCTCTGCTCCAAAAAGGAAAGCCACTCAGGATATGTTGGAATGTATCAGAAGCACCCCAACCTTAATTTTCAGTGGCACCCATATATTTAAAATAAAAATACACAAATAAGTATAAAAAAAATATATATATACGTATATTATATACGAGGGGTGATCCAAAAGTAATGATAATCGGTTACTGCAGGTCGACATAAAAATCAAAAAAAAAATTTTTGCTTGCTTAAATACTCACTACGTCAGCCTAAATAAATCATATAAATAGATCACGATTTCCGGGAGATACATTCATTTGAATACGAACTGTCAAAGAGATAACATCAACATGGAGAAAAACGAAATTAGAGCTGTCATCAAGTACCTCTGTTTGAAAAAAATGTCTTCAAAAGACATACACATTGACTTAGTGGAAACATTGGGGGACTCTGCTCCTCCATATTCTACAGTTGCACGCTGGGCTAAGGAGTTTAAACTGGGCAGAACATCCACTGAAGATGAACATCGCGAAGGACGCCCATCCATGTCCCTCACTGAAGACAGCGTGAAAAAAGTCGAAGATTTTGTGTTGTCAGATCGAAGAGTGACCATCAGGCATGTAGCTGAGATCACAGGGATCTCATATGGCAGCGTTCAAAGAATCCTTGCGAACGAGTTGCATATGAAAAAGGTCTCTGCGCGTTGGGTACCCAGAATGTTAACCGACGAGCAAAAGAAAAATCGAGTTGACATTTCGAGGGTCAATCTCACAGATTAGATTAGGAGGTAATCTATGGTCAATCTCGAAAAGTTCCAAGCAGATCAAGAAAATTTTTTGGTCCGTTTTGTGACTATGGACGAGACCTGGATCCACCATTTTGATCCTGAAACGAAACAACAATCGATGACTTGGAAGCGAGCCTCCTCACCGACGCCAAAGAAATTCAAAGTTTCAAGTTCGGCGAGAAAGGTTATGGCATCTGTTTTTTGGGACGCTCAAGGCATAATTATGGTGGAATATTTGGAAAAGGGAGCCACTATTACGGGCTCTTACTACGCATACCAAATAAGAAGATTACGGGAGGCCATTAAGGAAAAAAGACGCGGCAAACTGCGAGCTGGAGTGCTGTTTCACCAAGACAACGCACCGGCTCACAAAGCCGCAGTTGCGATGGCTGCCATTCAAGAAACGGGATTCGAACTGCTCGAACACCCTCCTTATTCGCCAGATTTAGCTCCTAGTGATTTCTACCTCTTTCCTCGGCTCAAGGAACGCCTCCGAGACAAGAAATTTGAAGACGATAGCGAAGTAATAACCGCTGTTGAAGCGTTTTGGGAGGGTCAAGACAAAGATTTTTTTTCAAAGGGAATCCTGGGTTTAGAAAAAAGATGGACTAAATGTATTGATTTGTTAGGAAACTATGTAGAAAAATAAATTATTATTTTAACTTTAATTACCGTGTTTTATTTTCATTATCATTACTTTTGGATCACCTCTCGTATTCCTTATGTGCAGAGGGCAGTTCTGTTGTGTTAAACCAAATATAATAACAAAAATTTATTTCTTGTAATATTGTCATAATTCTTATAAAATATTCTTAATACTGTAAGAGGTTGCATTGAAATTCACTCAGGAACGTAATTAAGTTTAAGTTTCAAGCAAATACACAAACCAGCTGCAATACACCGCTTCAATACATAATTTCAATAAATAATATATACATACTCAAACATACACACATAATATATATATATATATATACATAAATATAAACAAGCACACATAGATACACATATATACGCTCATACATTATTTATAAAATTACATACTATCAAAATATCTGCACTACTTAACTTTGAGATTGCTGATCTAAGAGGAACAATTTATATTTTTGACGGAAGCTATGTATCGATTGCATATTACGGAACGGCGGCGGCAAGTTGTTCCAACACTTGGTTGCTGCATATCGAAAACTGCCTCGAAACGCAGCGGAGCGGTGTTGGGGCAGAAGCAACCCGTACGCCGAAGCTCTTGTCACTACATTTGTTAAGACGTTGTCTCGAGCCCAGCGCAATTTTTCATAGAGATAAGACGGTGCCCTGTATTTGATACAACCAAACAACAACGTAGCAAAATGCAACTGCTAGCGGTAATCCATTTTAAGCATTTTCGCATTATTAATGTAAGGTGTAACATGTGCACGGAGAGGTATTTTAAAACAGAAACGGGCACAGGCATTTTGTACGCGCTGTATAAGTTTCTTTGAACGGTTGCGAAGTCTAGGACCAATTACTGCATCTGCATAATTGAATTTGGACAGTATTAAGGACTCACATAATCTGATACGGACGGAATCTTTAATACATCCCTTATCTGGTATAGCACTTTTAATCTGTAAAAGCAATTTTTAACGTTGTTTATTATATGTTTTTCGAAGTGTAGTGCCTCATCCATCAATATTCCTAAATTTCTAATCTCAGTAACTCGATCAATATTTATATTTTTAATTGAAATTAAAGAACGATTTGCCATAACTTTATTTGTTTTTTGGTACCAAGTAGCATATATTTCATTTTATTACGATTAAGTACTAATGTATTTGCTTCAGACCAGTCGACTCTACGATTTAAGTCTTCCTGTAATTTTTGTATGGCTACAGTACTCTCATTTGGCTTGAAAGCAATATACACTTGTATATCATCAGCATATATATGATAGCTACAGTTTAATATATGTTTTACGATATCAGCACTATACAGCGAAAAAATCAAGGGACCTAGTATTGAACCCTGCGGAACACCTCTTGTAACAGCACAGCAATCAGATGCTATTTTTATGCCGTTTTCATCTGTTACTTCGACAATTTGCCTACGGTCATTAAAATAGCTACGAAAGCAATCTATAGTTTCCGAGCTTAATCCATGGTAGTTTAATTTAGAGAAAAACAACTTTTGGTTCCCTACAATGAGCGCAGGTTACGTGGTAGAGCAATGTTGCAGCTATATTAGTAGTATAGTTGTAGCACGAATGGGTCGGATCGACCGGGGAAGGACCACGCTCTCACAGAATACTAGCGTAAAATAGTAGCTTAACGCTGCTGTGTTTCGTATGGTGAGTGTAGAGAACCGGAGACCCTTTTTAGTGGAAATGAGGCATTCACGGGTGACAACGCATCTGCATCTTGAGTCTTTATTGAGAATAGATGTAGATGTCTATGGGTCACAGTAACCACTTACTATCAGGTGGACTGTGTGCTCGTTTGTCACCCTATCCCATATTAAAAAAAGGTACAGACTGGTACGCTTTTCGAACCAGCTTCTCCACCTCAAGGGCCCACTGCTGCAGGTTTTCGTTACTGCGTTGCACGCGATCTTTGAGCTGCGCACGAAAG